CCTTCCAGCCTTCATTACCTTGTAGGTGAATATAAATTGCGGCACTTACAATCTCTAGTTCTGTTATTTTGATATACCAGGACAGCAGACCTAACCTGAATCCAGCAGAACCTGGAATAAATGGCCCCTGGTGACCACCCGTACACATCCCACCAACAGTGTGTGTGCCCACGCTCTCAGATGCCGCTTCACTTAGACACGCTGTCACATCTCCTGTTGGGTTCTGCATGCCCAGAACCAATAAGCTGTCAGAAAGCTGGTTTTGTATGCTGTATCTCCTTAAAAATTACTGAAGAAAAATGCTCCAGGTTACCTTGAATCACCTGTGTGACTTCAACAGATTTATTCTGACGGATCTAGTATTCATAACAGTGTATTTGGACACCTAAGTAGTGCACCCATTTGAAATAAGTGGGATTTTAGTGCAAGAGGGAATTTCCGTATGGATGCATGTGGCTGTAGCATTTCAGCCATGCCTTTTAACACTGCAAAAAGAACACATTCTAAAGAACACACTACAAACACAAATATTTTTAGCAGATCTGTAGATTTAGATGTTGGAAAGATAGTAAACGTATACCTATTCATGTAAAAATAAATTTCTAATATGTACGAAAAGATGTATTTCTTGAAGTGATCTCAGTGGTTTGCATATTACTGGCCTTTTCCATGCCTTGTAAGAACTGTCCACATTCACATTCAGTAGCCCACTGTCGTGACATAAAACCATGCACCTGTACAATATGGGCTCTAGGCAGCAGCATGCTCTTGAAGAGGATGGAAGATAGTGTTCTACCTTCAGTACTTTGAAGTGGGATTCCTTAAAGTTAAACTCCTAATGAAGAAGCATGGAACATGTCAGGTAAACATTGAGAAGGGGAGACACAACAAAAGAGGATCCCACATTACAGCTCCCAGACCAGTGAGTAAATCTTGCTACTGCATACCAGCAGCACTGCAGTCAATAGGACTGACTGTCTCTGTGAGTAAAGACTGTCTGTGCAAGGACTGGAGGCCTTTAGAATTGTTTTGTTTTATAAAACAGAGAGTGTACAGGAGTAGAGAGATATGGGTATTGTAATTCTTGTAGAAGCTGTTGCTGCAGTCTAGAAAAGCAGAATTTATTCTACTCCAATACATCTAAATCTGCAAAATTCATTAAAAGAGAGCAACATTAACACGCAACCACTCATCCTGAAAATCATTACAGTGATACATACTGGAAAGGGAAATCATGTTCCAGAATCTATAGAGCAACCCTAAATCTATAAAAGTAAAATAGCGTATAAATGTAACATTATTTTTATGAAATTATCATATTTTGAAATAGTATGACACTGTAAGATATGTTTTCTACCAAGATTAGTACAAAAAAATTTACATTTCAGAACCTGGCTCTATCTTTCATGTCAAGAAGCACAATCCTTTGAGACATTTAAGATTCTTGGGCCTGGCCCTGTGTATAAATGGATTTATTTCCTTGTAACTCTGCTAATATAATGCTATTCTTAGTGTATGTGAGTGCCACTGAAAGGAAATTCTGACCCACTGGATATATTGCTTACTGAAGATTATCTCAAAAATTATTTCCCAGTTTCTTGTTTTCTGTCCTTTGCATTATTCAACACCCATGTCCCAAGAGCAGGGGCAGCCTGGGCGCTGATTCAAGTCACATTTTCCAAGGGATTTTTTCACCCAGCTGCTGTGATGTCTGAACAGAGACAAGGCCTCTTTCAAGTCATCTTCCAAAGGTCACTGACACACTTTGCCCTCAAATGTCAAGCTGTCACTGAAACACATTGAAAGGTCAGACAGGGGGAAAACAACAGAGGAGGAAAAAAAAAAATCCTTAAAAACCTCTTATAAGTGGTTTTAAAAATTAAGTCCGAATAATAAATGAAGGCACTTCTGTGAACAACCAACCAGTAGGAAATTTTCTCAAACACCAAGTTTTCTGGTGCTCTGTGCATGGAGCTGATACCTACTCAATAATTACAACTTGGCTTTTTAGACACTAAATTGTTTAATGATGTGAGTCATTCAGAGCACAATATAAAATAATAAGACCTTGTACATTATCAAATTTACAGATTCATTAAATAAAATCTATGTTTTATTACAGCAGCAAGACAACACTCTACAATTAGGTCAAGCTTTGGGTCACAGCTATACAGAATTTTAATGCCTCCAAATGTTACCTTTTGTAAGCATGTCCATCAGAGATTAATATATCAGCACGTAATCTTGTTAACATAGTTGAAATCACTTCCAGGGAAAACACACACCTGACCAAACCGAAGTTGTGCTGGACTGCATCCTTCACTTTTGCTACCTTTATCTGGATCAAGTGTGTCTGTTGCTATAAAGATACTTCCTGCATTCCCTCCACAGAACACGAAGGAAAGCAGTATATTCAGAGCCAGCAGAATGTGTCTCTCTGCTCTATGTGTATGGATAGAGATTTATTTAATAGACTTACCACTGGTTGTTCCTTATACTGTAGTTAAATCTGAAACATAACACAGCATCTTAGTGGAACTGAAAGCCTTGAGGCAATCTTATGAGAGCCCTTGTTTTCACCTTGGAAAGGCAGTACGCAGAAAGCACAGCTTGCAGAGTGATCCATCTCTATCACAGCAACCTGCAGACTTTGACCCTGATTTTCTTCAGTGCTACATCACTGTCACACCAGCAGAGCCCCACCAATTGCGATGGCATGCCTGATTTACATTGGTGAAGTGAGAAGGCAAGTCATCTGCTTGTTTTTATGCCTCTGTATCAAATGCTGAGTGCAATCAGACACAGTAGTTGGCCCTTTTGCTCTGTCTGTTCATAACCCATAACAGAATCCTGAATGGGCTTGTGCTTATTTTCCCTTGCATGTTCCCACCAAGCGCAAAACAGGTGCAGATACCTAAATGGTTATGTTGTCACATATACCACTGGAAATTAAATGTATTCCTTAAAGAAACGGTGTAATTTTTAATTAAACTGCTGGAAGTCCTCAGGGTATTATTTATCTCTGTTTAACTGAAATGAATGACAAACCCTCAGAAAAAGAGCACTCAGTCAAAATGCAGTAGCATTTTAATCATATGCTGCATATTTCATGTAAGACTTGAGAGCGCCATTGTTTCCACTGTTTCCACCTTGGCTTGTCTGAATTTGACACAAACTAGAGTATTCATTGATTTTATGTTGGGTTTATACTTAGTTCTAGCTTCCTTATAAGTCACTAGAGACAGGCTCCTCCTGAGGGTGATACAGGTTAGGACCCGCTTTAAGTAACCAGAGCACTCTCTTGAGGTCGATGTTTAAGCTCAGTCTCTAAGTTTGGCCACCTTGAATAGCTCCTGATTCCCCTCCTAAGAAGCCACACATCAGTTGTAACTCTCAGGTATGAAGCATGAGGGTCCACCCAAAAAGGAGTGATGACAAGTTTACTAACAAAATATATATGACATAAACCCCAGTAGTGTTCTTGCTGCGAGACAGTAAGACTTGTCCTGGGTTCAGCTACAGCAGTCATTTTTCTCCTTCTGAGTAGCTGGTGCAGTGCTGTGTTTTCGACTTTCAGCCTGGGAACAACGCTGAATCCGATGTTTTTAGTTGTTGCTAAGTAATGTTTACTCTGACCAAGGGCTTTCTCGGTCTCATGCTCTGCCAAGGAGGAGGGGAAGCTGGGAGGAAGCAGAGACAGGACATCTGACCCAAACTGGCCAAAGGGGTATTCCATACCGCAGCACATCATGCCCAGTATAGAAACTGGGGGGAGTTACCCAGAAGGCCCAGATCGCTGCTCGGGTCAGGCTGGGTATCAGTCAGTGGGTGGTGAGCAGTTGTATTCTCTCCCCTTGTTACTCCCCTATCATTATTATTGTTGGTGGTAGCAGTAGTGGTTTGTATTATACCTTAGTTACTGGACTGCTCTTATCTCAGCCCATGGGAATTACATTCTTTTGATTCTCCTCCCCATCCCTCCAGGAGCAGGAGGGGGAAGAAAGCGGGGAGTGAGCAAGTGCCTGAGTGGCTCTGCGTTGCCAGCTGGGCTTAAACCATGACAGACTCCTGCAACTCCCTGCAAGCGACATGTGCTTGTGGTTGTGTTGAGAAAAGTATTAGCTTCACATGGGCCTTGAGGAAGAAGGCGACACTGTAAAACTATTCCTTGCTTAGGGACAACTCGGACATGAAGAATTATTCAGATTAATTTTGATGTCCTAGCTCTTCAAGCATTTCAAATGCTGTCTTGATCTGGATTGAGTTGCAAATATTCTGTAATGTCAGGAAATGTCTTAACTTGGTAGAGATCTTGGAGGCAAAAAAGGGGACAGCATAAAATAGCCAACATTTGTCACATTTGATCGAAGAAATGTCAACCATGAAAACACTTCAGTTTAACAATGTCGTATTTACAAAATGTGCAGGCTTACACTGCAGCCACCTACATTTAAAGGTGTATACAATGGCCACTTACATAGGTGTTACATATAAATCATGGATAGCGCAGGAGAAAATTAAACCATTTACAGACCTCTTAATCCTCTACTTAAGTCAACTAAATGAGCTAGTCTTATGTTTCACTACATTTATTTAAGATAAATGTTTCAGGTCTGGCACATCAGTAAGAGCAGAACCTCGCACCTGTGGAGCTGCTCCCTCATTTTCCACAGGTTCACACAGACAGACCACCCAGCGCCAACAAGCAATCAAAGCTGTTTTTTTAAAACTTTATTTAGGATTCCTTTTTGACGCATTTGTTTCTCAAATAAATACATATATAAATAACTGGAAATTCACTATGCAAAGTTGTGAAGCACTTAAGTATTGTTATCTGATCCATATATCATCAAAAGTTTTAATCTATTTAACAGTGGACCCCAAAAGACCTAATGTATATGCTAGGAAAAAAACAGTTGATGCTTGTATCTGCTAGGGTAACTTGAGTCAAGAGGAGCAATGTCTGTCAAATCATTTTAGATGTCTAGATTAAATACCTTTTAATTGCTGTCGCCATCTTCTTCCTGTTTTCTGTATGCTTTATTCAATATTTGTATTTCTTCCTGATAACCACCTTTCTCCATATCCTGCTTTTTACTGTTCTGACGATGAGCTTCGACAGTGTCCGGAATTGATATGTTAATATCGCTGTCAGGATTGTTTGATGGTATGAAAAGGGAGTAGGAGGCAGTTTCCCCTAAATCACATGAGACAAACCTATTTTCTTTCCGTGAATAACGTAAGGATGGAGACCTTACCTGTGTTGAGGACTGGCTGATGTTACTGATGATTGACACAGTATCCAGGGCCTCTTCATTGTCACAAATTTCAAGTACCTCTAAATGAATTTTAACACTTGTGTCAGCAAACGTATTAGGAGACTCCTCAGCATTTGGCTCGTGACCAACACTTTTAGATCGATACACTTCAATTTTCTTTGACATGGGTGTTATTTTATGCCCTTCAGTGCTTACCTCATATGTGGATAAAGACAGTGTTTTTCCTGTGGGTGCCTGAAGAGATACAGTTCCTTGAAATGCACACAAAGGGACAGCCAAGGCCCCACCTGATCGCTGGAAAGAGAAAGAATGACCATTATCTCATGTTAATTTTTGAAGTTAGAATCCATTATAAATAAGCAAATTAGGCTTAGTTTGTTAACGTATTTTACTGACTCTTCCTTGCAGTATTTTAGAAATATTTATGACTTACTATGGTATCTAAGACTTTAAAGAGTAGAAAGAAGTGTTTGATAATTACACATTTAGTATAAAAAGTGAAGTCTCAAATGACTGTGACTCAGCTTATGGACACACACACTTTTTTGGATAGTCTACACATAACATTCCATTGCAGCCAGCCCCAAGGAGACAGCCTGCACTTGCAAGCACCTCTCTAGCTAGTACTCACAGGCACCTGTGAAAGTGTTTTCTATCTGCTTGAATGAGATCAAGACAGTGATATCCTAAAGCTTCTCATAGTGACCAAAATGAGAGAAATTATACCAGAGGACTGTTCAAACACAGGAACCTATGCTGCAACACCTGTCTCCCTTGGGCACCCTGCCTTAATGACTCTTAACTAAATTAGGTGCCTAAAGTTAGGCCTACCTACCAAGCTGAACTTACCAAAACAATTGGTCAGGTACTATTTGTCATGGTTTAACCCTAGCTGGCAGAGAAAGAAAATTCAGTTAAAGCTCTGCAGTACTAAAAGTCACCCTCAAACCAAGAATTTTTAGCAGTTGCAATGAGCAGCCCTGCGGAGAAGGACTTAGGGGTGTGGTTGATGAGAAGCTTCGCATGAGCTGGCTTCAGTGTGCGCTTGCAGCCCAGAAACCAACCGTATTCTGGGCTGCATCAAAAGAAGCGTGACCAGCAGGTCAAAGGAGGTGATCCTGCCCCTCTACTCTGCTCTCGTGAGACCTCACTTGGAGTATTGTGTACATAAAACATAAAAAGGACATGGAGCAAGTCCAGAGGAGGGCCACAAGGATGATAAGGGGGCTGGAGCATCTCCCTTACGAAGACAGGCTGAGAAAGTTGGGGCTGCTCAGCCTGGAGAAGACTGTATGGAGACCTTATAGCAGCCTTCCAGTATCTGAAGGGGGCCTATTAGGATGTTGGGGAGGGACTCTTGGTTAGGGACTGTAGTGGTAGGACAAGGGGTAATGGGTTTAAACTTAAACAGGGGAAGTTTAGATTAGATATAAGGAAGAAGTTCTTTACAGTGAGGGTGGTGAGGCACTGGAATGGGTTGCCCAAGGAAGTTGTGAATGCTCCAACCCTGGCACAGTGTTCAAGGCCAGGCTGGACAGAGCGTTGGGTGACATGGTTTAGTGCAATGTGTCCCTGCCCATGGTAGGGGGGTTGGAACTAGATGATCTTAAGGTCCTTTCCAACCCTAACTATTCTATGATTCTATGAAAATATTGTTTCAGAGGCTGTAAAGAAATAAAGGCATTACATAAAGAAATCACTGCAAGTGTGTGTGTTGTAAACAGAGAACACAGCTTGCTCCTACGTAGACTGCTGTAGCTGACTCAGTGGTAGGTTGTTATATCTTCTTTTCCATAGAGTTGCAGGAAAGATTCTGGCTCTCACTCTCACGCTATAGAGACTCATTGTAACTGTGGAGATTCTCCATTCAGTAACTCACTGACGTAGTTTAAGCCCAGCCAGTAATTCGAAACCACGCAGCCACTCACTCACTCCCCTCCTTCTTCGACCCCTGCTCCCAGAGGGATGGGGAGGAGAATCGGTGGAATGTAACTCCCACGGGTTGCGATAACAGCACTCCAGTAACTAAGGTATAATACAAACCACTACTGCTACCAATAATAATGATAAGAGAAATAAAACAAGGGGAGAGCACACACCCCCTCCCCACCCACTGACCGATACCCAGCCTGACCCAAGCAGTGATCTGGGCTTTCCAGGTAACTCCCCCCAGTTTCTATACTGGGCATGACGTGCTGTGGTATGGAATACCCCTTTGGCCAGTTTGGGTCAAGTGTCCTGTCTCTGCTTCCTCCCAGCTTCCCCTCTTCCCTGGCAGAGCATGAGACTGAGAAAGCCCTTGGTCGGAGTAAACATTACTTTGCAACAACTAAAAGCAACAACTAAAAACATCGGATTCAGCGTTGTTCCCAGGCTGAAAGTCAAAAACACAGCACTGCACCAGCTACTAAGGAGGAGAAGAAATGACTGCTGTAGCTGAACCCAAGACACTCACACTGGAGAGAACAAAAGTGATGGCAGAAATAGACACACAGAGCAAAGAAACATCAGTCTCAGGTTCTGGAGAATCTCACTGAGGGCTCATCCATTGCTCCATCCTTATCTGCTTTGCTGCAGCTGGGCTTTGCTTACTGAGAAGGGCAGGGGTTACCATTTGAAAACTTGCTCTTACTCACTAAAAAGGAACATGTATAATGAACCACAGCTTTGCCAAAAGCAGCCTCCCTGGCACGCAGCGAAGCGCTGACTTTGGGAAAGGGTGGTTCAGGCTGAAAGGCTGCACCAAGTTCAGAGGGAAGCGTGCAACAAGGAAGACTACTGAAAACCAGGGAAGCTGCAGAACCCAGCTCTGCACCCACACAGACACCAGGGAGAAGGGTATTGAAAAGCTGCCAGGTAGCAAGGTGAATCACTCTGTATAGTCTTCTGTGTTGCTGTTACTATCAGGACCTGCTGATGATCTTTCAAATCTACCTCACACATCACTGACAGGCTGAGAGCGCTGGGGTTGTCCAGCCTGGAGAAGAGAAGGCTCCAGGGAGACCTTAGAGCAGCCTCCAGTACCTAAAAGGACCAACAGGAAAGCAGGAGAGGGACTTCTTTCAAGGGCGTGTAGGAATAGGACAAGGGGGACTGGCTTTTAACTGGAAGAGGGTAGATTTAGATTACATATTAGGAAGAAAGTCTTCACTATGAGGGTGGTGAGACAGTGGAACAGGTTGCTCGGAGAAGGCAACACTTGTGGCTGCCCCATCCTTGGAAGTGATAAGGCCAGGCTGGACAGGGCTTTGAGCAACCTGGTCTAGCGTGAGGTGTCCCTGCCTGTGGCACGGTGGTTTGAACTAGATGATCTTTAAGGTTCTTTCCAACCCAAACCATTCTGTGATTCTGTGATTACTTCACCTTCACCTAAATGCATGTAAAGGAAATTAGGTTCCATTGCATAGAAAAATCTTGCCAGACTGGGACTTAATGTTGTTCTTTGACAAAGGAATTGACCTGACAAAACCCTAGGAGCTGGCTTGCCCTGCTGGAAGGAAATCAAAGTTGTATTAGTATCCTTAATAGATCTGTCAGAGAAAAATGGTCCTCAAGTGTTCTTCCAATGTGCAGTTACAGAGGCAGCTACTGTGCTGTGTCATCAAGCAGGCATAGGTCCTGGATCGGTGAATGCCAGCTGACAGCAGCTCACTGCCAGCTGCTGGCTGCTGTTTTGAGTACAGAGCCATAGAGGGTGCAGGGACTCCCTCAAGTGTAGCTCTCCTAAGGGTAAGCACCAGCAGCCTTTGTTTCAAAGCAATGAGGAAAGAGCTTTTTTTAAAGCTCAGCTAGGTGCTGGCCCTTATATTTTCTGTAGTAATTAGCAATAAGGGTCACTCCTCCAGGAAAAATGTGAGAATAACTGTTTTCTCAGCTTGACAAAGCTGTTGTCCACTCATCTTCCATCCCAGCTTACTAAGCTTACTAAGGGCACTGGAAGATAGAGTAACAAATCCAGCTCTGGCTAAGATCAAGTGGACAAAGCCTACTGTTCTAAGCAGCACAAAGACACACGGTAAGCACCTTGGATATTGCAATGGATAAAGCCTGGATACCTATGAACTTTGGTAACACACATTTAGAATGGTGTTTCTGCTGGATACAAGCCTGACGGTTCTATTTCCAGCCCCCTGGCTAGTTTCTGCAATCAACACACTAAGTCCTTTGCAGGGTCAGTTCAGAGTGTCTGCATTTCTGGCAGTTAATCAAGGTCAGAGTCTGAAAAGTCTAAAGGAGCACTTAGATTATAAAGAAAGACATCTAAAGATTATGAAAAAAAAGTTAAATACTTCAGTGCAAAGTTACGTTCTACTTAATAAAACAGTGCAGGTGTGTCATCTTGAACGTCAACAAGATGGAGGATACGTCTGAGACATAAACAATCTCACTCACTACAATGGATACTCCAGTTCTGGAGAACAAGAAATTTTCCAATCATAAATTTAGTGTCTCTTTCCAAAAGTCTGTTTTTTGTACTTATTTCAGTATTTACTTTTTGAAGTGAAAAGGATATACTAAGTCTTCTAGGCCACTTCCCAGTCACCAACCAGGAAGCCAGTAAACTATGTCTTTTTCCACTAGAAATTTTTTCAGTTACAGAATGACAATGTTTTGATGCTACCTTGACAATGCATGCAGGAATCAGGCACTGCAGCTGTTGTGTCTCAGCAGTTTTGCAATGTATTAGATACACATATATAATGGTCATTATTCCTAAATAAAATGCAGAAATTCTTCTCAACTCCAGTACTGTGTTTATTTTATCAGTATGTAGTTATACTGGGATTTGTAATACTGTCTCAAGGACACCTCACAGCTGAAGTGCATTCTTTCTAACTGTCATGCGCCCTGTACCAGTTTGGCACCTGTGGCCATTACACAGGGCAAGGAAGCTTTGCTATCCACAATTCTGATCCTGTAAAGTCAAGACTTGTCTTTCTGAGACCTTACTCACTCTCAGCTAGGAGAGTTGCAGGAAAGATCAGACACTTACCTGCTTGAACATAGCTGCTTTAAAGTTAAGCCTGATATGGTTCTTGTATCCACTTAAAGATCCTTTTTCTCTGCGTGCACACAAGCACAGATATATACAAGTACTTATTTATTCATTGTACGCAGCATATACCTCTATGAAATATTTACCTTTTTACAATTGATTTCTTAATTTCTGATAGGATTGAAAGCTTTCAATTCAGAAATGCTCTAATGTTTCAATTTTTTAAAAAAATCACAGCATTCCCCAGTCAAAACACTCTGTAAGCCAAAATAACTGTCTTTATGCTCAGGCCAGCTTT